ATAATACAGCGTGCTAAGATACGAAATATTAGATCATTCCGCAAGTGTCTGCTGATTTCTCAGAATCTTAAAACAACGCGACATCATCAGAAATATTTTTATATTTTAGCTTGTCCTTACCTTAATTTTCTTTCAATACCTCGACGATAAGAATTCTAATGTTTTAAATTGAAAGAACGAATCGAAAAGACCGCCATAACCTATTTTTTTATCGTATTTTATCGTACACATCAGGTTGTTAAAATAAAATATTTCAAGGCTTTTATTGAAATGGAAATTCTTTTTATTAAATCTTGAATCCTACTTAAAACACTATTTTAATTTAGGCTAGAGAATTCAAATATATAACTTAGGCTTAATTCACATAGAATTTAAATAATACTTGTAATTAAATTATACTTACTATTTATACTTAGAATTAAATTATACTTACTATTACTAGTAAATAATACTTACTAATAATACTATTATTACTAAATAATACTTACTAATAATACTATTACTGTTAAATAATACTTACTAATAATACTATTACTACTAAATAATACTTACCAATAATAGTTACTATTTATACTTAGAATTAAATAATACTTACTATTACTACTAATAATACTAAATAATACTTACTAATAATACTTACTATTTATACTTAGAATTAAATAATACTTACTATTACTACTAAATAATACTTACTAATAATACTATTACTACTAGATAATACTTACTAATGATACTATTATTGCTAAATAATACTTACTAATAATACTATTGCTGCTAAATAATACTTACCAATAATGCTTACTATTTATACTTAGAATTAAATAATACTTACTATTACTACTGAATAATACTTACTAATAATACTATTACTACTAGATAATACTTACTAATAATACTATTACTACTAGATAACACTTACTAATAATACTATTGCTACTAAATAATACTTACTAATGATACTATTACTACTAAATAATACTTACTAATAATACTTACTATTTATACTTAGAATTAAATAATACTTACTATTGCTACTAAATAATACTTGCTAATAATACTATTACTGCTAAATAATACTTACTAATAATACTATTACTACTAAATAATACTTACTAATAATACTTACTAACTAATACTTAAAAAATTAAATATTCATTTCACATGATCGCCGAACTGTGAAATGAAATACATTGTGATAACAATTATTTATATTTTTGTTCTACTCGCCCGGTTGCATCAGCGTGTTGCAACAGCGAGTTGGAGTGCGACACTCGCGTCAAACTCTCGGCCTCGTCTCGTCGTGTTTCTCAATGAACACGAAATGAATAACGTCCAAGGTAAGCTTGACCAGGGGTTAAAAACTAAAATTACATTTCAGTTTCATTGTTAACAATGTCTTAATTTAAACAATCAACCTCCAAGTGGATGA